ACATGATAACTAACTTGGATGTAAATTAAAACATAAATAAATAATTTAAAAAAAAAGAATAGGGGCGCCTGAGTGGCTCAGTCGGTTAGCCTCAGGTCATGATCTCGTGGTTTGTGAGTTCGAGCCCTGTGTCGGGCTCTGTGCTGAGAGCTCAGAGCCTGGAGCCTGCTTCGGATTCTGTGTCTCCCTCTCTCTCTGCCCCTCCCCTGCTCATGCTCTGTTTCTGTCTCAAAAATAAATAAAAACATTAAAAAAAAATTAAAAAAAAAAGAATAGTATCTACTTCAAAGAGTTATTAATGAGTATTAAAGAAGTCTATGTGACATATTTAGCATGATGTTTGGTACATAGTAAAGTCTATCCAATGGTAACTATTTTTATTATGATAATTATTATATTAACTCCTATAAAATTCTCTCTCTTTCCTTCCCCCACTTGCACTGTTTGTCTCTCTCAAAATAAACTTTAAAAGCTAAACATTAAAAAATTGTAAAAATGGTAGATTTTAAATAAAATAAACAAATAAAAAAACAAATAAATAAAGTCTGGAAGCCCATGCTAGAAAATTTGAGCAATCAAAATTTTTTTATTTTCAGAAGTACCCAAAATTTAACAGCTGAATTTGACTATTTGAGACTCTACAGTTTATACAACCATGTGCTACACACTCCCAAGAATAACAATTTTAATTACAAATTAGAGGATTCTGACCTAGTTAATAAAGTTACTTGTAAGATATGTGCCATCCCATTTCAGTACAAAAAAGCTTACTCTGATCAAATGATGCAATGTTTCAGAGTACACTAAGCCCTTTCAAAGGGAAGAGCAGATTAAGATTGTCCTTGTGATAATGTGTAAATCTCCAGTATGTGTTATTTGTCTTCCTAACTGAAAATGTAAATGCCTGGCTAGGCAAATCATTTTTTATTTTCCTTACTTTTTAAAAAAATGTTTATTTTGAGAGAGAGAGAACGTGCACGAGCATGTGAGCAGGGGAGGGAAGAGACAGCAAGAGGTAGAGAGAGAAGCCCAACCAGGCTCCTCACTGCCAGTGTGGGGCCGCACGTAGCAATCCCACAAACCGTGAGATCATGACCTGAGGAGCCACCCAGGCACCCCATATTTTCTCTACTTTTAAAACAAATAAATTTTAAAACAAATACACTTTTGAAACAAATAAATTATGGGACATTTACATAAGGGAATACAATGAAGTAGATCTCTATGTACTTATGCTTAAAAATATGCTATTAAATACAAAATCCAGATGGAGAACTGTCCTTTTGTGTTTAAAAGAAAGATTATGTATGTTAGAATATCATGCATGTTAGAATATATACAAAATAGTCCCAGAAGGCTATGTAAGTGGCTTTATTTTGGAAGTAGGATGCCTAGGATTAAAAACGGAGGTGTGGGAGAAACTAAGATTTACTTTTCAATTTATTCTATTACATGCTACACAGATATTTTACTATGTGCATGAAATATTTCTATAACTAAATAATTTGTTTAATGTATTTTAAAAACGAAGGAAATGCAGTAGTGTCAAAATAACGATATGGACACAAAGACTTGCTTCAGACAAAGGGCTGGAAGAAAGAAAGTTGGCCAAGGCCTTCAGACCACCCCAAAACAAAGTATGCAGGGCCAGGTTTTAATCCTAGTAGCCTGGCCAAACAACGCACAATGAATTCATTTGGATCTTCTATGTTGTTTTGGTTTTATCATCTAGTTTATAGTTCACAGTGACATCCCTTTTCTTTTTTTTTTTTTTTCAACGTTTATTTATTTTTGGGACAGAGAGAGACAGAGCATGAACGGGGGAGGGGCAGAGAGAGAGGGAGACACAGAATCAGAAACAAGCTCCAGGCTCTGAGCCATCAGCCCAGAGCCCGATGCGGGGCTCGAACTCACGGACCGCGAGATCGTGACCTGGCTGAAGTCGGACGCTTAACCGACTGCGCCACCCAAGCGCCCCAATGACATCCCTTTTCAATGAGCACCTGGACCTTGATTCTATGACAACATTTAATCAAAATTTTAATATGTGAATAAATTTTTAATTTTCTAATCAAATATGCATAGATGCAAATTACTATGTGTAAAAACAGTGGACCAAAGTTCATAAAATATATAAAGTAATACCAGCTATGTAAGATACGGTCACTGCCCTAAAGGAACTTACTATCAATCCAGTGGGGAAGATACAAAACATGTAGTAAATGCCTGGTGAGTATTTAAAGACAACTATCGAGTCTGAAGAAGTGAAGATTACTACAAATACTGAGATACTAGTTAAAAACTTCACAGAGGATGGAGATGTGATTTCTTCATTTGAAAAATAAGGACACTTGTGAGGGAGCACAAGTGAAAAGCTTAGACCAGGGCAAGACACAAAGTAAACACTCAACCATTAGAAACAACATAAAAAACATGAGGAATCTGCCTCCAAAGTTACATGGAATTCCGTAAGAAGAAAGAAAAAGTTCAACTATATGAAATAAGTGTGGTGACAAAAAAAAACAATCTAATGAAATGGTAGGCTCTCGTTGAGGAATTTTAATAAAACAACTTCCTTTTACAAGACTTATATGAAAAACAACCAGCAAGAATTCTTTAATTGACGGGTTTCCTTTTTGACAAGATAAAGTATGTACATCCTAAACTAAGAAAGGAAAGTGATAAGGCTCTCATACTGTCCTGATGGATAAAATGGAGAAATGTGGAGTGGCTGATAACACAATAAAGTTGATGAGTAACTAATTAAAATACTTAGTAACTAAATAAAATGATTTAGCAATCATTTGAAAGGAAATCTCTAGTGACATGCCACAAGGGTTGGTCCTTAGTTCTCTCAGCAAACATTTTTTCAATGACTTGGTAGAAGCTACAGAATGTATGTTCTTCAAATCAGTTCATGACACAAACTAAGAGGTTTAATGACAGATAACAAAAGTCAGATTTTAAAAAGAATCCAAAAGGCTGAAAAGTAATGGATCAAATATAACAAGAAAGTTAATAGATAAGGTCCTACACTTGGGTTGAAGATACAAAATGTACAAGTATAGAACGGCCAAGGCATGATTTAGCAAGAGTTAGTATGATGGTTTTACTTATTAAGTTCCACATGTGCAAGACTTTGCCCACTTTGCATTCTACCAAGTCCAGGTGCCATTCTCAGAGACTGGATCACTTAAACCCTTTACAATGAAAACAATCAAATAATAAGGTAATCTAATGGCTAAAGAATTTGAAACTCAGGATCTGAGGCCACAATACTTTCATCATAAAGAAGGATTTGACTTAATTATATGATAGTCTAAAACAGAACTGGAACTGATGGGTAGAAGACACTAGGAGTCAGTTCCCATTCACCAGAATACAAGAAAACTTCTATAGTCATCAGAACTATCCAGGATAGGGCAGACCAACTTGAAATGCAGTTAAATTTCCTTAAGTATAGGCATTTAAGCATAAAATGAATGGCAAATATTAGAAGGATGATTAAATAATTTTTCAGGTGACTTTCTAGTGTCTATGATTAGATTCTGAGAAGCATTTCTCATTTCCACCAACTATAAATGATCTTTCCCTACTTTAAAACCCCATGGTACTGACTTTGTAATTTTTTTTAGAGCTTTTAGCTTATTAAAGTATCTTCGAATTACTTTTTTATTTTTTTAATTTTTTTTTTTAATGTTTATCTATTTTTGAGAGAGAGAGCGAGAGAGAGAGCACAAGTAGGGGCAGAGAAAGAGGGAGACACAGAATCTGAAGCAGGCTCCAGGCTCTGAGCTGTCAGCACAGAGCCTGACACAGTGCTCGAACTGCAAGATCATGACGTGAGCCAAAGTTGGACACCTAACTGACTGAGCCACCTAGGGGCCCCTTTTTCAAATTATAGGTCTTTAATTGCTTCTTTCTAAATATAAGCACTCCATGTTATTAGCATTTTGTAGATAGATTAGCAACAAACATTTGTTGAATAAGAATAATGATAATAGTTACAATTTATTGAGTACCTAATATGTTTCACATACTGGGGTGTTTTATATTATCTCTTTAATTATCACAATTATTTCTGGGTGTAGTACTTTTACTATTCACACCAAACATGTGTGGTAAGGAAATGAACTTAACAAATAAGAAGACGAAGTCTGCCCTTAAGTAGAAAAAAATTTTGAAACCATTATTTTATTTTGCAGAAATGAAACCAAAGTTGGTTTAACTTAGACATGGCTTTAATTTTAAATCAAAAGCTGAAGACCATACAGTTTTCATTCAATCAATCAACAGACACCTCTGGTTATTGCAAAGCATTCATTGGGGCTACTCAATGACTTATTTGTGAACAAATAAATCAATAAAGTAACACGAAATTAAAGTAAGAAACAACTGAGATCATAGTGTTCAGCATCAGGACTCCCTCAGGGCAGGTACACTATGAGCTAAGTTCACAGAAAAGAAATAATAAGACACCAAGACAGAACTAACAGACTTACCTCGATCTCTGCCAGTTGAGAGGCATTTGAAAATTACCATCCTCAGATCTAGTCCTTCTTTAAGCCAGATCTTGTCCATAATCTTTATCATTTGTAAAGCTAACATATCTTGCCGAAGATCTTCACCAACCTTGGAATCAAAGAAACAAAATGAAACCTGTACCTTTCCAAAAGACTTAACTATGTTACATACTATTAAAGGCAGGGGAAGGGAGAAATAATAGAAAGAGTGAAGAATGAGATGAACAGAACTGCCTTTTTATTTTTCTGCAGCATTCCAGAAGAAATTACTTAACCTCTTCATGTCTCAATTTCCTGAAATATACACTTTAGAGGATTAGATTTTATGGTATGTGAATCATATTCAATTTTTTAAAAGGCCAAAATGGAGGGTCTTTGTCATAACCAAAACATTCCATATTTAGACTGTATCAATGCCAATATCCTGATTGTAATATTATATGATAGCTTTGCAAGGTGTTATATTGAAAGAAACTGGGTAAAGGTACCCAGGATCTCTGTATAATTTCTTACAACAGGCTATGAATCTATAATTATCTCAAACTAAAAGTTTACTTAAAAAAAAAGTTAACCCTGCCAAAATAAATTCTAACTGGAATCACATCAAGTTTTCATTTTCTTTTTAAAATTGGATAAAATAACTTTAAGACACATAATGATGAATATATTTTTTTAAACTAGTTATGAAAAAAAGGAGATTTGCCTTAACTAATACTAAAACTTAATATATAAAATTTCTGTATTCAAATAGATGGTACTGTTTTAGAAAAAAGCAAATAAATCAGTAAAATATAACCCAAACCAGATGTAAGTTAGGAGAAAAATATAAATATATTTTGCATTTACATTTATATATATATTTATATAAATATATGTTTATATTTTTATCAAAGATAGTTCAAGAAAAGCTATCTTTATGAACCTCCATTAACTCAATGAATTAATGAAAACTCTCCATTCTTTCTTCAAAATATACGAATTATTATCACAAGATGCAGAACTTTGGTAATAGGTTACTCGGTAGTGCTCCACTCCTGCTGCTTCTCACAGGTAAGTTACGTGTTTCCAAAAACCAGTGCCATTGCTCACAGTTGTGCACTTTCACACAGCACAACTCCCAGGGGTGCCACTCACATGACAGTCTGTGTGAAAGGCACTGCATGCTGTTATGATGTGTTCAACCAGCAGGGCCTAGGTAGCAGCTCTAGCCCAGAGTTGCATTTGTTCCCAAATCTGTCTGGAAACAATTTATGTCAGCAATATTTTTTCACTTAATTATTCAATTTAATTAAATATTAAATAAAATTACTTTGCAATTTGGAAAAGGAATTTGAGAAAAGAATTTTTAAATTATCATTTTAAAACAAAGTAACCTCATTTGCTCACCTTAAACATGACATTAATTTCTTCCCCCATTGGATCAGCATTCACCATTGTCACTTTTAGGGGCACAGCATTAGAACTGAAGAAGGAACAGGACTACAAATACAACATGTTTAAGCATTAGAAAGATAACACTGGAATAAAAATGGGTTTAAGGTTTTTGTCCTAGGCATTTCTCCCTTCACTTGTTCCTATGAATTAAGGCAAATGAAATAACACATGTGAACTGCTTTTTAGATCACCTAGCAGACAAGAGGTATTAAAAAAAAACTTTTTGAAACTGACTTAAACATAGCATATATAAGTAAAATATGACCTACTACTCTCTAAACAGAGAAGCAAAACCTTGAAAGCTTGAGACAAAAATTATTAAAATTTTGACCTTTAGAAGTGTCATAATTCTTCAACAGAGCATAAAATTTTGTATACTCTTACCTTTCCTCAATCAGTATGATCTAGAATGAGACCTCTACTTCTCCTTTTATGGTGCTCTTATAATTAATAATTAGCCATGCAATCAAATAGTGACACTAAATTTTAAAATTTCATTAGCAAAGAGCAAACCTTATTTTAAAATCAAACTGGTTAAAAAAACTAATTTAAGACAGACCAATTAGGGGCACCTGTGTGGCTCAGTCAGTTAAGCGTCTGACTTTGGCTCAGGTCATGATCTCACAGTTCATGAGTTTGAGCCCCACATCAGGCTCTGTGCTGAGAGCACAGAGCTTCTAAGGTGCTCTGTCTTCTAATGCTCTGTCTTCCTCTCTCTCTGCCCCTCCCCAGCTTGTGCTCTGTCTCTGTCTCTCTCTCTCTCAAAAATAAACATACATTAAAAAAAAAAAAAAAAAAAAAAAAAAAAAAAAAAAGACAGACCAATTAAGGGAAACAACAAACAAAACCCAAGGAGAAAATGTGACCCATCCCTAACATGACCCTCGTCAATGACATACGACTCAGGCACCCATGGTTAAATTTCAGTAAAGAGTAGCCATGTATCAACTTAAGAAATCAAATCCAAGACTCCTTTATGGATACTTAAACCCTAGCCTTTCAAAACCACAGACATTAATTGGTTGTCTTTGCTGAATTCGCTGCTTTTGCTCAATTCTGATGATTACTCAACTACTTTTTGATGGCTCTAAAAAGTTTTATAAACCTGGGAAGAGTCTAACTGACCATTCACATGGGAGGAAAAGAAAATGCCTATTTGTGACTGAATTACAACATATGCTTCCAAGGTACCATAGTAAAGAATAATTTGAGATGGGGGTGCCTGGGTGACTTAGTCGGTTGAACACCTGACTTCGGCTCAGGTCATGATTTTGTGGTTCTTGAGTTAGAGCCCCATGTCAGGCTCTGTGCTGACAGCTCAGAGCCTGGAACCTGCTTCAGATTCCCTCTCTCTCTGCCCCTCCCCAGCTCATGCTCTGTCTCTCTCAAAAGTGGATAAATGTTAAGAAAATTTTTTAAAAATTTTGAGAGAGTAAATAATTTTATATTGTTTTCTTTTAGGAATGGTGATTAATGGGGCGCCTGGGTGGCGCAGTCGGTTAAGCGTCCGACTTCAGCCAGGTCACGATCTCCCGGTCCGCGAGTTCAAGCCCCGCGTCGGGCTCTGGGCTGATGGCTCAGAGCCTGGAGCCTGTTTCCGATTCTGTGTCTCCCTCTCTCTCTGCCCCTCCCCCGTTCATGCTCTGTCTCTCTCTGTCCCAAAAATAAAATAAACGTTAAAAAAAAAAATTTAAAAAAAAAAAAAGGAATGGTGATTAAGTAAACATTACTGATATAAAAATGGATCTTATAAACAGACATCCATAAATACCTATATAACCAACCTATGAAGGTTTTATCCTCATTTGCTTTAAGCATATCTGCCCATCTGCTTTCTTCCTACAAATAATTTTGAAATACAATATGAACTTATAAGCATTTTATGTGTCACCTTAATATTTAATTCTTTTGCAACAAGACTTGGTTTGAGAGGAAGACGGCATTTATTTCTTAGGAAAAAGGACTGGACTCGTTCCATACTCCTTTGAAGGACAACCTAGGAAAAGAGAATGATACTATAAGTACATAAAGAAAATGAAGATCAGGGGCACCTGGGTGGTTCAGTCGGTTGAGCATCCGACTTCAGCTCAGGTCACGATCTCACGGTTTGTGAGTTCGAGCCCCGCGTCAGGCTCTGGGCTGATGGCTCAGAGCCTGGAGCCTGCTTCCGATTCTGTGTCTCCCTCTCTCTCTGCCCCTCTCCCATTCATGCTCTGTCTCTCTCTGTCTCAAAAATAAATAAACATTAAAAAAAAAAATTAAAAAAAAAAAGAAAATGAAGATCTATTTTTAAGACAAAAATATTATGATGTATCCTGGACCCACTCAATTTTTAAAATGTCCAACTGTCAAATGGTCAAAAAGAAGTTCCCAAAGAATTAATTTATTATGTACCCATAAAAAAACATGAAGTGTAACTATATGTCTTGACACAAATTCTCCAAGTAAAAAAAAAAAAACAAAAAACAAAAAAACAAAAACCAAAAAAAAGTAAAATTACCCAAAGAAATTAAAGATCTAAAAGAACAAAAAGACATCTTGTGTTCATGAAGTGGAAGACAATATTAAGACTGCAGTGTTTTCCAAATTAATCTGTAGACTCAACACAATTCTTATCAAAATTCCAACTTCCTTTTTGCAGAAATGTACAAGATGGTACTAAAACTCACACAGAATTGCAAGGGACTTCTGAATAGCATCCCCCCCCCAAAACAAACAAACAAACAAACAAACAAACACCCTTGGAAAAGAACAAAGTTGGAGGACTCATATTTCCTATTTCCTAATTTCAAAACTTACTACAAAGCTACAGTAGTTAAAATAGTATGGCATATGGATAATCTCATATACCAATGGAATATAATTCAGAGTCCAGAAATAAACCTGTATGTCTATGGTCAACTGATTTTCAACAAGAATGCTGAGATCATTCGTGGGAGAGAATGGTCTCTTCAACAAATGATGCTGGGAAGTTTCAAAGATGCTGCCCAAGGGAAAAAGCAGTTCCAGGAAAGGGAGGAAAGTGGGGAAAGTGGGGAGCAGCCTCTGGGAGTGACAGTTCTGACAAGAAGTCTCAGGGTCCCAAAGATGGTGGCAACTCAGTAAAGGTCAGACACATTCTGTGTGAAAAACATGGGAAAATCATGGAAACCATGGAAAACTTAAAGTCTGGAATGAGACTCAATGAAGTGGTCACACAGTATAGTGAAGATAAAGACAGGCAAGGGGGTGACTTGGGTTGGATGACCAGAGGTTCCATGGTGGGAACACTGTAACACGTAGCATTTGCCTTGCCTGTAAATGGGCTGAATAAGCCCGTGTTTACAAACCCTCCAGTGAAGATAATATATTATTATGGTTGAAGGGAGAAAATAAAACTATACGAAAGACTGGGGGGAAAAAAAGCCCAAACAAGCAGTGCTAGGAAAACTGGATAACCACATGTAAAAGAATGAGTTATCTCAAAGCATATTAAAAAATACTCAAAATGGATCAAAGATTTACATATGAGCAAAACTATAAAACTCTTAGAAGAAAACATAGGTGTGTATCTTTGTGACCTTAGATTTGGTAACAAATTCTTAGATATCAAATGCACAAGCAACAAAAATAAACCTCATAAAATTAACTTTTGTGCAAAAGACACCATCAAGGAAATAAAAAGATAATTCAAGGAACAGGAGAAAATATTTACAAACAGTATCTCCAATAAGGGTCTAATATCCCAAATGTTTAAGGAACAACTCAAAAACAAAAAGACAAACCAATTAATTAAAAGGGGGGAGGGGTGCCTGGGTGGCTCAGTCAGTTAAGCAACCGGCTCTTGATTTCAGCTCACATCATGAGCTGATTTCATGGCTCCAGGTTCATGAGATCAAGCCTCATGTCAGGCTCTGCACTGACAGCATAAAGCCTGCTTGGGATTCGCTCTCTCCCTCTCTCTCTGCCCCTCCCCCACTCTCATGTACACTCTAAGTAAATAAATACATATATACACACAAAACTCTTCGGGCAGAAATTTCTCCCAAGAAGATATACAAATGGCAAACAAACACATAAAAATGTGCTCAAAACCATTAATCAGGGAAATGCAAGTCAAACCACAATGTGATACTACTTCACACCCACTAAGATGACTATAATTTTTTTAAAAAGGCAGAAAATAACAAACGGTGAAGATGTGGAGAACTTGGAATCCTCATACAATGCTAGTAGGAATATAAAATGACGAAGCTGCTTCATATAAAAGTTTGTTGGTTCCTCACAAAGTTAAACACAGAATTGCTTTATGACTCAGTAATTCCACTCCTAGGTAAACTGAAAAGAGGTGTTCAAATAAAAACATACACAAGCATTCATAGCAGAATTATTCATGATAGCCAAATAGTGGAAACAAGCCAAATGTCCATCAACTGATGAATGGATAAACAAAATGTGGTATTATTCACACAATGGAACATTATTTAGCTATAAAAAGGAGCGAAGTACTCATATATGCTAGAATATATGAAACCTTGAAAATATTAGGTAGTGGCGGCTGGGTGGCTCAGTTGGTTAAGCTTCCAACTCTTGGTTTCAGTTCAGGTTATGATATCATTGATCAAGCCCCATGTTGGGCTCTATGCTGGCAGCACAAAGCCTGGAGCCTGCTCTCTCTGCCCCTCCCTTACTCATACTCTGTCTCTCTCAATAATAAATAGACATTTTAAAAATTGGGGGGAGTGGAAAAGAAAAAAATAGGCAAATTGAAAGAAACTGGACACAAAGTCCACATATTGTGTAATTCCACTTAAATGAAATGTCCAGAATAGGTAAATCCATAGAGATAGAAAGCAGATTAATGCTTACCAGGGGTTGGGAGGAGGAGGGAATGAGAACTGAGAGGTTAGTGGGTATAGGCTTTCTTTCTGGTATGATGAAAATGTTCTGGAATTAGTGGTGGTGGTTGTATAACACTGTGAATGTACTAAAACCTAATGATTTAAAGTGATGAGTGTTATGTGAATTTTACCTCAATAACAGTACGTGTGTGTGTTTCTATAAAAAATTTTTTTAAAAAACAAAAAAACTCCAAACATTTATACATGTACTTGTATGTATATACGTGTAAAGTCATATAAAAGACCAGAAGGGACATAAAGCAAACTATGAATAATAGATACCTAACAGAAAATGAAACTGGAAATTTTTTTAATTTTTAAATTAAATTAATTTAAAATTTTAATTAAAAATTTTTTATTCTATGAGCTTCTTTATTATTTGGATTTTTTAAACATCAGCATCAACTCATACTTGCATTACTTTTTTTAACGTTTGTTTACTTTTGAGATAGAGAGAGAGAGAAAGCAAGTGGGAAAGGGGCAGAGAGAGAGGGAGAGAATCCCAAGCAAGCTCCATGCTGACATCACAGAGCCCGACAGGGGGCTCAATCTCACAAACTACTAGATCATGACCTGAGCCAAAATGAAGAGTCAGACTCTTAACCGACTGAGCCGCCCAGGCGCCCCTGATTTTTCTTCTTTTGGGGGGGCTGAGTAATATTCTATGGTAAATATATATACCACATCTTCTTTATCCATTCATCAGTCAATGAGCATTTAGGCTCTCTCCATAGTTTGGCTATTGTTGATAATGCTGCTATAAACATTGGGGTGCATGTACCCCTTTGAATCTGTATTTTGGTATCCTCTAGGTAAATACATAATAGTGCAATTGCTAGATTATAGGGTAGTTCCATTTTTAGTTTTTTGAGGAACCTCCATACTCATCTCCAGAGTGGCTGCAGCAGGTTGCATTCCCAACAGCAATGACATGGATGGAGCTAGAATGTATAATGCTAAGCAAATTAAGTCAATCAGAGAAAGAAAAATACCATATGATTTCACTCATATGTGGATTTTAAGAAACAAAACAGATGATCATATGGGAAGGGCAGTGAAGGGAAGAGAGGGAAACAAACCACAAGAGACTCTTAATGACAGAGAACAAACTGAGGGTTGATGGAGGAGGGAGATTGGCTAGGTAGGTGATTGGGTACCAAGGAGGGTACTTGTTGTGATAAGCACTGGGTATTGTATCAAAGTGAAGAATTACTGAATTCTACTCCTGAAATAAATATTGCACTATATGTTACTAACTAAAATTTAACTAAAAAAAATAATAAAATTTTAAAAATCATTGATTTTCTGAGTTTGACTGCAAAAATCTTTCCCTGTGGTTTTAAACAACCTTTGAATTATCTGTTCAAAACAGCATAGGTGTAATTAGATTCTACTGGATGTCTACTGATAAAGAGTAACAATTCATCAGCAGTGTAAAGATCCTTTAACATCGAAATATTTATATTCCCACTTATGGGTACATACCTGTCTGGCTGATCCACTAGCCTGCCTTACTTTTTCTGCTACTCCTCCTAAAAGCTGTACAAGTTTTGTCTGCTTCAAAAGTTCTTCTCTGAGTCCTTTTCCTCCTATTGAGAGGAGAGCACCCAAAACATGTTCATATCGGGCACCAAACTGTGCATCATGCAGGGCATCCTTGAGGAGCCTAATACAGCAAAATATTTATGTCAGCCACTTCTGAAAACTGGATAAGTGCTTCTGAAAAATCAACTTAGGTTCATTTTTTGGTATCGAGAATTTGTTTTAAGCTATATAAACAAGTAAAAACTTATTCATTATTATGGAGTTCTAACATGCTAAATATCTTTGCAATAAAGAGTCTTGTTATTTTTGGTTTTATTTCTAAGGACATAAAATTTAGCTTTGTAATGCCTTCAATAAAACATCTGGTATGGACAATAAGTAGTCTGAGCATACCATTTAGACTTTCAAACTATATCATCTTTACAAATACTAAGAATGGAAATAAATTACTTAAAAAATTTTAAATCTTACCAATATAAATTGTGTGCTATCTGTATATTTCCCAATGCCCTGGACAGAAGGAAGCGCACTAATGAACTGTTCAAGTAAATTTCGTATTTCAAAGCCTATGCATGAAAGAAAGTAAGAATTACTAGTTGTCAAACCCATACTCCATTATCAGGATAAAATTATCAAAGGAGAAACTATAAAAAGCAAGTATTAGTCTTGTTGATTTAAGGTAACACTGGAAAATGAAAAAGTGAATTAACTTAGGCTAATAAATTAATGAAATCAAGCAGAAAAGTGTAGATTTGGGAACAATAATTCATTACCTATATTTAAATGGCTAGGAAAGAAAAATTAAAGAAAAGCTCAAGCCTGGTTTGTTTGAGAATCTAAAAATCTGAAGATTAAAAATCCAGGTACATATAATATTCAAGCGGGGCAGCTAACAACAGTGGGAAAAAAATTCATACTATATCCAAATGTAATGTACTTCAACTTCCCACAAAAGTACTTTTAATCAAAACAGAAGGGGGATGCTTTAGCAAGTTCCCTACTCATAAAAAAATGAGTGGAGTAAGGTGGGCAGGCAACCTAGTAAAAAAAAAAAAAAAAAAAAAAAAAAAAAAAAAAAAAAACAAAAAAAAAACAAAAACTCACCTGCACAAACTGTGGGAGAAGATCAGTAAGCTCATCATCACTTATGGCCTCAATCCAGGTCACAGCTATGGACCTCACTTCCTGATCAGCAAATCTAGACAAATACCACAAAAATCAAGATTTGATGAAAATCTATATTTCCTGAAACACAATCTTAATCTATACCTGACAAAGAACACTCAAATAGCTCTTTATTCAAAAGCAATGTGTTTCAGCAGCCTTTTCTGTTCATAGATTCTGTACACGTGTTGTAATAAAACCATCTTTTTTGCACCCAAAAAAACCCAAAAAACAATGTGTTTCTTCTTTTTTATTTTAGGAAGAAAATCTTACTGTACTATAAAAATTCAAATTCAGGACTGTTCACAAACCTTACCCTTATGAAAATTTTGACCCACATCATAAAAAATATAACAGATTATTAAAAATTTACAACTCTCTCTTTAGATTAGTTTTAAATGATGACATCTTTTTTATTTTTTTAAAGTAAACTCTACACCCAATATGGGGCTCAAACTCACGACCTCTGAGATCAAGGGTCCCATGTTCTACCAACTGAGCCAACCAAGCACCCCGTGACATCTCTTTTTAAGAACCTCAACACAGAAAATATGTTTGCAAAAATATACATTTACACATTTATATTGAATTGCTTTCATGTCCTACAACTTAATACACCTTACTGGAAAAACTGACAACAACAGAATAGAACAAGTACATTCAGTCATGGTTAACTTACTTTGAATCAAGTAGTTCCAATGCAGTCAGTGGGTTCAATGGAGGCCACTGCTGAAGCAGTGAGTAAGTTTTGGCAAGATTAACCCATTTCCAGTTTGGGGCACTTGCTAGTACTTTAGGAAGACAATTTGGGTGTTTGAGGCAATAATAACGTTTCTCCCACAAAAAGGCTTTATCTTCTTTAGAAAGTCTGCATATATAATAGAATTAAATTACTTCTCAATATCATAATGATGGCTATAATTTCAATGATTAAAAATACAAAGGAGAAAGTTATTCATTTTAGGACAGCCACTTCTTGGTAGAATCATTAATACTAACTTGGAATAGAAAAATGCAATGTACAGCAAACACCACTAATTTACCCTAATTTGGGGGATAGAAAGAAATCATTGTGCCTTGATAAAAGAGTCTTAGTTATGAGAATGAAGGATAATTCAGTACAATAAAAATATTATTGGGCTCTAACCAGATGCCAACGACTAGAAATCAGAATTGAATAAGCAGAACCCATGCTAAGAGAAAGCAAGGATTTCATCCATTTTATACAACTAAAATCAAATGTCATGCAAAAAAAAAAAATGCTATTTTAGAAGATGATTTTAGAAGATGATTATTCAGTTCAAATGAGGAATATTAAAAATAAGAAGTACTTGTTTTGGAGACTTAGTCTTAAAAACAAATGTTGATGTGACAAAATATTTCACTACTTTACCACCCATCCATCTACTTTTGTGTATACATTTACTGATGTATTCATTTCGTGTGGAGTACTGAAAAAAATTCAAATATTGCAAAAAGGTACACAGTGAAGTCTCTCCTTCCAGCTCTCCTCCAGTGGCAACTAATAAGCGTGCACATCCTTCCAGGGATAGTCTATTTGTATAGAAGCATATACAGAGGTATATATGCTTTTTTTTTCTTTATGTAAGTGGTAACACACGATATACACTACTCTGCTCCTTGCTTTCTTCATTTAACATATCTTGCATATTATTACATAAAACTATAAGTTCATTCTTAATAGTTACACAGTACTCTATTGGATAAATATACCATAATTAAACCTCTATTGATGGACATTCCCTGTCACTCTCACAATAATCCAAATACTGCAATGAATATTCTTGAGTCCATACGCAAACATAAAAATTTTCTCTAAGGTATATAATTAACTGGAAGCGTAGCTGATAGGTTACAAACTACATACATTGTAACCTTTTATAGATTTTGCCACAGTGCTCTCCAAAAGCCCTTTAGCCAACAGTATAATTCCCTTTTTTTGATAACCTCACTAACGCTTATATAGTGAGACATTTTTCAACCAAGTGATGTGTATAAAATGTTATCTTGTATTAATTTTCATTTCCTTCATTTCTGAGAGGTAAAACATCTTTTTAGATATTTAAAAGGCATTGTTATTTCTTTTCCAAAAAATTATCTACTCATATTCTTTGTCTACTACTAAGTTATTGGTTTTCTATTGAAAAGGTTCTTCATATATATTTTTTAGGGTTCTTTATATATTTAAAAATTAATCTACTGATATTTATGGTAAATTTAGTTCTCAATGTTGTTTGCCTTTTGATCATGTGTAAATTTGACTTGAACACATTTCTAAAGTCTTATGTAGTCATACGGTCTTTTTATGTAATTAAAAACAAACAAAAAACTTCCCATACCAAGAACATTGCTAAATCATGAAATAAATCAGGGCATTTAATAAAATATTAATTTGAAATTTACTATAAGAAATACCCAGGCAAAACAAAAATCAAACGAGCATACCCAAGTGATGAGTCTCTATGAAGAATATCAGAAAGTTTCCCTTTTGTATCATTCTCCAATGTTTCTAAGTTGTGTTGCTGTATAAGGCTTCTGTCAACTTGAGGAGTAGTATAAATGACATCAAATGTAGGAGAAGGAAAATCAACCTTAAAAATTTAACAGAAGTTGATGAGATTGAAGCTAAATAATCCACATATCTCCCACATTCATTTGTCTTTGAAAAAACTGATTTTTCTTAGCCACCAGGGTGATTATTACATTGAATATTGAATTAATGCTTCTGTCCTTTTGTTGAAAGTGATTGCCATCGTTGGTAATTCTCAAAAGCACATATATTGCTTGGGATGGGTACACTTTTTACTGTTTCTCAGAAATAGGAAATGGTTTATTAACATTTAAATAGAAGATAAGCCATAAGATGCAAACAAGATCAATTATGCTACTTTAGTAACAATCCAATTAATGGTACACATATACATCTTATTAAGAAATTTAAATTTAAATCTCTCCATGTATCAAGAAGTACCATTACCTGTAACACTATTCTTTCCATCACATACCCTTTTTTGGGTATTGTTCCAGGAATAGGATTTGTATGTGACGAAGTCCAAAGATATAGAAGCTTAGTTCCACATGTTAAAAACCTTCATGAATATAAACAGAAGAATACCGTAGTTTTCATTTAAAAACTTCAAAACTCACATCACACGGTAATGAATTTTAAATGCTGGTATCTAAACACCAAGCATACATTTGATAAAAAGAGTATCATCTTTAAGAACATATCAGAATCACTCTCCACAGTGTATGAATACTGTAGGTAGGTAAATGTACTGCGTAGGGGTGGAACAAAGGGAGAGGAGAAAGAAAGAATGTATCTTGGGATGAATGGGTTTATGGATAGAACACAAAATGGTAGACTCAAAGTGATCTGCCCCCAAAACAGCTTTTATAAATAGAAAGGTGAAGGATAGTCTTTGAAGATCATCTACAATGGAATACATCTCAAGATACCAGTTTGGATTACAGAACGGCTCCCTGACTTTTGCCATAAGAACAAAACCACATGCCAATAAAAAGCAGGGGTGGGGGCGGGGGGAGGATGTTCAGCTCAGGTCATGAACTCATGGTTTCAAGCCCCATATGGGGCTCCATGCTGACAGTGCAGAGCCTACTTGGGATTTTCTGTATCCTTCTCTCTGCCCCTCCCCCATTCACACTGTCTCTGTCTCTGTCTCTCTCTGAAAATGAATGAATGAATGAATGAATAAATAAATAAATAAGCTTTTTAAAAAGAGGGGGGGCACCTGGGTGGCTCAGTCTGTTGAGCATCTGAATCTTGATTTTGGCTCAGGTCACAATCCCTGCATCGGGCTCTGCACTGAGCATGGAGCCTGCTTAGGATCCTCTCTCTTTCTCCCTCTCCTTCCCTCTGTCCCTCCTCCCCACTTTGAGCTCTCTAAAATAAAACAAAAAACAAACAAACAAACAAACAAACAAACAAAAATACATGGCAAGAAAACCAATACCTACCTCATAGCAAAGCCACTAAACGTTTTACATGAGAAGTTGTATCTGTGCCAGGGGCCAGATGGCAAATATTTGGGGCCTTTTGGGTCAATCTGTTGCAGAGACTCAACTCTGCTGTTACAGTGCAAAAGTAGCCCTGAACAATACATAAATAAATGTGTGCTGTGTTTTAACAAAACTATATTTACAAAAAACAGGCAGTGTGCTGCAATATGCTGACACTTGCCCTAGACTATAATTTATGGCCTACTTTTTGAGAGATAGAGAAAAAGCTCCTGTGTAAGCAGGGGAGGGGCAGAGAGAGAGAAAAAGAGAGAATTCCCAAGCAGGCTCCATGCTCTGTGTAGAGCCTGACACAGGGCTCAATCCCACAACCCTGAGATCATGACATGAGCCAAAATCAAGAGTCGGACACTCAACTTAACTGACTGAGCCACTCAGGTGTGCCACCACTTTACGGCCCACTTAAATTAAAAAGTTACCAACAAGACAATAATATATGTTTACATAGAAGAAATTTCTGAAACATAACATGAGATATATTAAAGTAGAAATATAAAATAAACTTCAAGGGGCGCCTGGGTGGCGCAGTCGGTTAAGCGTCCGACTTCAGCCAGGTCACGATCTCGCGGTCCGTGAGTTCGAGCCCC